GGGGGAAAATTTTGATCTCATGAAGTACACTCCTCAGTATAACTTATATTTCTGCCAATAAGTTTTAATAAACAAAGTGGACATAAATTTTGAATTCATACAATGACTTATTGTGACAATGACATTGGCCTGAAGAAATATCAAAACTAGGCTCTAAAGTTCGTCTAATTATGCTTAACATCTCATTTCTCCCAACATTTCCTTCCACTGATTCAAAGGATATAAACCGAACACAAACACTGCTGACAGACGAACGGACATGTGCATAATACTATACGACAAATCTTTTTCGGGGGGTATAAAAATTGATAAAAATTCCAAATAGAAAATCATTATTCTAAAAGAATATTACAAAAAATGTTAATAAAGTTCTAAATGATCCAGTATGAACATTTACATAGTTAGAAAATGATAATATTTTGTTAAAGAACATTTTTATTATCTGCTATATGAATACATTTGAATGTGATATCATGTATCTCACATCTGCCTATGACATTCATATATAATTCGTTGTGGTTTGTTGTTATATCTAAATATATTAGTACACCACCAACATACATGTATTTTTATTGTATTACACGCCTTCTATTACATTGCAACATTACGTAATTATCGATGATTGCGTTCTGGACCAAATATACATCAAGTTGTTTATGGAGTTGTTGAATACCAATATACCAATATTATATATTTCTTCTTTATTGCTTTTGCCCTACGCAGAATGCACGCACGCACGAAGGCAACACCCGTTTCTATGGAAAATTCTTATCGTAAAACGGCTAATATGCTCTTAGGCAAACAAATTGTTAAAACGCGTGTATAAAGTAAGGTGAGAAAGTAAATTTCAGGGTGGTTAAACAGGGCAATATATCTTGATTTTGAGTGAACTGTGCTATAATATAGCAGGGTATGGAGTAATATGATCACGAAAGTCGTAGGCCTACACACGTCTGAACACCATATCGTGCTATATGTATAGTATAACACAGAGCAAACAAAATCAAAATGTTTTCCATTCTAACACGAAAAACTAAAAAAGCTGGACTATATTGTTGGTGATTAAATTTGTTCCCGCCTCAGTGTTTCTTATATAAACGTGCTTTAAAGTTTTTTTTAGTCGGTTGATGCACATTAATTTGAGAGTAACAAATAGTGGAAACATTGTTTGTGTTCTTATTTTATCTCTTTATATATTTTACAAGCGAAATACAGAGTATTTATAGTAAAATAAAAGCAACAGTGAAATAGATTTATTTTTGACTGTTTTTGCACGCGCTGTTTAGGCGCTGCATTGTGACGTTATGTAAACAACACTTCAAACGTCTGTACTGCGTAAATATATTGGTGTCCGTAATGTTTTTAAGTTAAACAACTTTCATTCTAGATAGTTTTATTATACTTTATCATATACCCTTGCCGAATATTAGACTCCGTTAAAAGAGTATTGCAAGGTCGTGCATATATTTTGACGTGACGTCATTTTTGTTATATGAACTAAGTGTTAATACGTGCTAAATGTTAACGTTATAATATAGGCGCGTCAATGAATAATGGTGCTTTTGTCACTTCAAAGGTTTTTTTTAATTTTTTTGTAAGTGATAAATAGAATATTAAATACATGTAAGTTTAATACTAAATTTATTCGTTGAATAAAATAATAGATCTAAAAGGCTCGCCAGAGGCTCGCATTAAATAATTTCATTCAACTCGTTTAGTAAATTCAATATCGAACGTACACTAATTTAATATCTTCTTTATTATCACATACACATGCCGCTTTTGCGTCTCCGTGAAAACGGAATTACACAGCCGTGAATATATCTTGACATGACGCCATTGTCTTTATATAAACATAACGTTAAGAGTTAAGACGCGCTAAATTTTAGCGTTGTACAATAGGCGCGTCAATGAAAAAATGTTGTTTTTTTACTTCAAACGGTCTTAATTTTTGGTGAATGATAAATAGAATATTAAAATCGTGTACGTTTAATACTAAATTTATTGAACTAGTTGAATAAAAAAATATTATGCTCGCCAGAGGCTCGAATAATATGATTTTATTCAACTCGTTCTAGAAATTTAGTATTAAACTTACACTCATTCAAAATACTCTTTTTATCACATACCCGTGAAGCTTTTGCGTCTCTGTAGAAATGGTATTGCACGGTCGTGTTTATATAACGCATATGACGTCACGTCAAAACATATTCACGACCGTGCAATACCATTTTTTACGGAGACGCAAAAGCAGCATGGGTATGTGATAAACAGAGCTAGTATATCGAATGAGTGCATCAACCGTCTAAAAGCCCTTTAAAGAACATCTTTATTAGTAACATTGAGGTGAAAACAAATATAACCACCACCAATATAGTCCAACTATAGTTTTTCTTAACGTGTTAGAATGGGAAAAAAACACCTTGACTTTGTTTGCTCTGTGCTATACACATAGGACGATACGTCGTTCAGATGTCCGTAGGCCTACAACCTTTGTGATTATATGACTGAACATCTAAACTCAATACTGTATCATATTATAGTACAGTTCACTCAAAATCAAGATATATTTTCTTGTTTAACAACCCTGAAATTTATTTTTCACTTTACTTTATTCGTGCATGCGCATTTGCGTAGAACAAAATTTGTAAAGAAAGAATATATAATATTGGTTTCAACAACTTCATAAACAACTTGATGTAATGTGAAAGAATATCCATTAGTTTAGAATACATTTTTTTTATAAATAATAGGTGCACGAAGGTTTGCTAGTGCATATTAAAGCACTATACTCCTTATTAAAAGATCGTGAACACGAAATTTATGGGCAATAATTCTCTTTCATTTCTCATTTTCACAATGGTATTCAAACTTGCGTTTAGAGGTACATTGTATGACGTTTCGTATATGTCAAGTCATAATAATCAGAGTATCGATCGTCCTTCATGTTGTCTGGAGAAGAATTATTCACGAAAAAATCGTCATACAGTTATTTCTTTACATGAGCTATAAATTTGACTATAAAAGTAAGTTATTTTAAAATGCAGTGTACGTAATTTTTGTATCAGTTTCGTGTGTTACATAAATGAGTAAACAAATTTAATGAAAATATTAAACTCAAACCTTTTCAGGATATACAATTTGAGCATATTTTATCACAGAATTTGTTTCTTATTTTTTAATTTAATTATCTTTTTATTATTCTATTTGTTTTGTTAGCCAGTGTTATCCATTTGATCCAATTATGAACTTAGACTGCTTCAAAGAAAGTTTAGTCGGAATCAATAAAGCATAAGTGATTGATTTTTTGAGAGTGTACGCAGTATCATAATGTCTATTTTCTGTAAATAGTTCGTTTTAAGACATTTTTCATACAAAGGAAAAAAAAACGAAGATTGAAAATATATTTATGGAACAATTTCTACAATAAAATAACTTCAAGCTGTGTGAAACTTTCAGTTTTATCGACAATTTCTCAATTTCTTTAACATTTCAACGCCGGGTGTACTCGGTATCCAGAATCAAAATCGCATTCAATGCGAATACTGATGAGAAAGAGAAGACTTGTGTCACGGCATGGAATATTGAAACTAGAATTAAGGACATCTTCTTTGCAAAAGAAATTAAGTTCAATTCTATTCTAATTGCTTTACTTGACATTTTTTGTTCAAAATACCGGTTGAAAAAGTGTTCGCGGTATCAGAATTTTGAGGATGCGCGCATGGTATGACCCCCTTGAAAAATCCGTGTCTGTATTGTATTGATCGACTAGCCTGTGTTATGTGTCTAAACATATAGATTGACTACTTGTGTGTATTGAGCGTGTCTATTTTTTATTTTAGATTTGTCATAACATCCATGCACTAAATGCATCAAAATTGCAAATGAAATTTTAGATAAACATAACTGATCATTTTGAAATAAAATTTAAAATGCTTTTACGCATTTAATTACTCAGAGTCATGGTGATAATGCTACCTTTTCTGTTCAACCTCGCTTAATAACGGCATATTTATAAAAAAAAAAACCGTCAACAACATATCAATACGCAAGAGCGTTATTTACAGAAAGAAAAACAATTATATTTCGTTCAGATTTATTTTGCAGGTATATAATAACAGAAGAAAATACACGTATGTGCTATATTTAATTGTTATATCGCCCCCTTTGATTGTGTCAAGTCGTATTCCCACCCACCCTTCAGACTTGTGAATACAACTTTACACATAGACAAGTCAATCATTATAGTAAATGTAGGTTATATGTGCTTAATAGTATATCTATATACAAATATCTATTTTTGTTGGATCAATATTAATGAATGATTAATTAACCCTATATAAAGAGCATCGAAACACGAGGCTATCTGATTTGTACAAGGGGGCATAGCTCCCGAGTATAAATCAGATTACAGAGTGTTTTGATGTTCTTTCTCTTTTGTATCATAGTCAAAAATAAAAACACGTTCCCTGATGTAACAATATGAAACCCCAGAAAAAAGGAACCAATAAACGAGCATCTGAATATGATATTTCTATCGCTTTCCCTTTCCCCGTCGTCACAATATGTAAACCCCAGACAAAATGAACCAATCAATGAGCATGCTCTGCAGTGCGGGTAACTAATACCTGCACTCCAGTTAACGCACTGTGCATGTATATGTATACGATTTAAATCTGAAACATATTCAACAGAAAGGTCCCCAAACTATGATACAATGTCTCTTTGTAATGAAACATAACAAAGTCAACTATTACAAAGAAGAAGTTAACTCGAGATTTACATGGACAGTAAACAAACAAAAACCGTTCTTCAATCGTTTGTTTGCAACATTGTGAAAATTGTTTGTCTTTAGTGTAAAAATGACTAACATTTTATTTAAACAACATATATAGGACAACAAAGCATAGTCAAGAACAAACGCTACGCAATTCACTTAATTAACATCTAAAGCTAATGAGAAAACAATATTTCAATAACATCAAACTTAAGATATATGTACAAAGATTTATGAAAAAAGAAAAATTGTTAAAGATTCAAGTTATATTATACGTGTTATGTGCGATTAATGACTGATTTTACAGTATTTACAACTATATTTCTACTGCGTTACTAATGAAGGAAGGGCTTTTAATGCATATTTTGACCACTTTTTGGTAATTTTAGTGGGTTGTAAGTGCCATTGATAATCTGTAAATTGCTTCCTTTTGATTATTTTACAATATTATACATTCAAATATATTTTAAAAAAATTCATGAAAATTAGCATGAATCTGGAGACGTGCTTCTTTAAAAATAATGTAATAGTTCCTGTAATTTGAAAAGAATTTACTCACAGTATTATAATCTTTATGTATACGAGGGTTGTCCAAAAAATTCGTGAACTGCAGTTATTGCCGTGAGAGTTATTAATAGAAAAATATGAATTATATATTTTTCAAGGGGAAATCTGTCTCAAATAAGAAAACAAAAGAAAAAGCCGTGTAACTGGAGTGTCGTGAATACAAATCGTAATACAGTTATCTTGGTAACGTAATACCGGAGCACGACAAAAAATTGGGTTAGTTCATGACTTTGATGCATCACAGTATTCTTTAAACACTGCACATGAATATAAAAATTCAGGGAAAAGTGTGTGTACGTATTCCTGACAGCAATAGAAAATATGACGTCATTTGCCCTATTATAACGGTCGTAAACAAACATTTCTGTGTGGTCGTCAATACTGTAATTATGTGAAATCTTAAGTCACTAAACGTCTGGAAATACGGAAGATCATTAACTTTTGGGCAAATATTGGTAAAACACCGACAGATGCCTACAAAGAATTTAAAAGGGCAAGGGTGACAAGTTCAGTATAAGGAAGGCTGGTTTTTTAATGGCAAAAATGCTCTGTAGAGGGGCGAGAGGTGGTAGATGATGACAACCGGTCAGGCTATCGTCCGTAATGCGGGCGCATTTGATGAGGGTTGTCCAATATACTTGTGCACTGGTGGAATATGTAACATGTACGCTGCATTAGAACAAAAAAAAATACTTTGCATCAATCATTCCTCTATTGACAATAAAACAAATTATGACATAAAAAGCAAATGCCACTCTACAAGCGACAAAAAATTAATACAATTACAGTAATGAACTAACCCATTTTTTTGTCGTGCGCCGGTATTGCGTTACCAAGGTAACTTAATGACAATTCTTTTTCACGACACGCCGGTTACACGGCTTTTTCTTATGTTTTCTTATATGAGACAGATTTCCCCTTCAAGTTATATATAATTCATGTTTTTATTAATAACTCTCACGACAATAACTGCAGTGCACGAATTTTTTGGACAACCCTCGTATGTACTTCAATGTTGCATAAACGTTAGGTTAAACACATACCCTGGAATGAAACACACATTAAGTCTTTACGACTTTAACATAAAGTAAAACAACAATATATATGTCCGTAACAGAAATGATCAATGGCAAACAAGTGAATTTGTGCTATAATATCGTGTTTTTGTTTTTTTTGGTTTTGTTTTTTGTTGTTGTTTTTTTTATAAAGAAGCAGAAGGAAACAATATTAGCTTGAAATGAAATACCTTTAGAAATCAGAAATATATTATGGGTTAAGAAATTTCACAGAATTTATGGGACAACCATCCTGTGATGCTTTCTGTCTCCGTTTCCATATCTACTTCCAAAGATTCGATTTCCTTCTTTTTGATATCGTTCATCTGACTTTTAACTATTTCTTGTTCGTCCTCTGCTTTGTTGCTGATTTCTTTTTCATGATTTGAAGCGCTTTTTGATGCTCTTTCTTCTTCTATAGGTTCATTTTCCTTTGTATCAAATGTGCTGGTTTTACTGAAACATCTATTGATTTGCTCACTTTCAGAAGGCTGGTCGGATGAGTTTTGTTGCCGTCTGGGTTTGTATTCGTCTATGTTTTCCTCAGATTCCTTCATGTATGGACGTACTTTGATAGAAGAACCAGTTGAACTTTTAACTTTGGAACGCTGCTTGGTATCTTTCTCTTTTGTAGTAATGTTGCTTTCATTTTGGTCATCTTTATCCTGAAATGTACGTGACATTAACATGTATTTGCAAAGTGTTTGTTTGAAAAATAAAATCATCTTATTGAGCAAAGAAGTTGCCAACATATTCCTTAAATGAGTCATGTTTTATCAGGTAAGGTGGTAATATATATAGTAATAGGTATCCATTTACCTCAAAGTGGTTCATTATTGAGCAATGCCATAATTCAACTATTTAATTTAATGAACTGTTCTTATTTTATTGCTTACATATCAGACAAGCGTTTCAACTGTACACAACACCCACTTCTCATGTAAAAGTAGTTAATACGGCACATATTTTAACTGAATTACGTGCATAGAATGACGACATTTCGCAGCTATGAATGAAGTTGTAAATTCATATGCTTCTGTACAAAAAGTAAGTTGGCAAAACAAAAATAATGAATTAAAAGGAAATGTAACAGACGGACGGTTGTTGCAAAAAGTCGAAAGCGGTTACTTGGTATATCATCATTTACGCTTGTACAAGATAATCTGGTCATTACCGGCAGCTAGTGTGAGATTATTTGAAACAATTAGCAATTCTTTATCTGCAAAACTAGTTCATTTTATAAAAGTGAGCAGCCAAGTTACAGTGGGAATTGTTTATCTCAAAGCATACAAACACATATGTTTTCTTAAACAAGACATACTTCCCAACGTTCAAATAACGGTGTCCCGTTGAAGTTTATGAACATAAACGTTTCTGAAGTGGTAGAATCATATTCAGGATTCCTTTCTTTCAGATATTTTAGGAGTTTTGGCCGTGCAATGTTTCCATAAAAAGTTAATTCTTCAAATGTTTCTTTTATTAGACAAAGATTAATCCTTTCACAATTTATAACAAACAACGTTTCCTTTTCTTTGTTGTTTACTTCGTGAGCTTCACAAAACCCTGCTAGTGTGACCGACCATACTGTACTTTCCGCAACCTGACATTCGTTTGCTATAAGTTCTATAACAAAATTCATGAACATGTCATAGTCATTTTGACGAATTGGCATGATGTCTAAATGTAGATTTTGTTTTGCATTTTCAATGATATATTTTTCTGTTATACTCCGTTTAGACTGCTGAGTTTGTGACTGATCTTTCTTTCGTTTTTTATTTTGCTCTCTATAGGATTCGTTTGATTGAACCGAAGTGAGCGTTTCATGACGATCGGATATTTCATTTCTAGTATACAAAGAACAGTAGGGACAATGGGCTAATTGGAAACGTGTTGTTTCACTTGATCTAACATATAATTCTCTCCCGCAATTAGAGTTGCCTGGTTCTTCATCATTATGCAATGCCATAAACTGCTGTAATGAAGTGTTGCTCCTAAATGTTGGCTCAAATTTGCTCGGAACTAAAGCAGCATAACGTTGTTTTTTTTCTTTCATAGGCGGATTCCTTATAAAAAAGAGATAAAACTTTACTTCCAATTGATTATAAAGTATAAAAACATATAAATGATTAATATTGACTTAATTGTTTATAATAACTTTGCCTACAATAAACGATAATACATGTATAACTGAACACTATTATCAATTGTGTTTGTTATGTCTGAACAAACGAAGATAATTAAATTTACTGAAAGACCATGGAATGTCAACAGCACAAGACTGAGATATTCTCAAGATGATAACATCAATTCTGGTATTTAGAAACTGACATTACTTATGTAAATACCAAAGTTTTCAGTTAAAACCTATTAAAATAAATTACATGACTGAACAGTGCTTGCGATTCCGTCAAAACGATATGGAACAGCTGTGGATGTCATAATTATATTTTAAAGAAAAATGTTATGATTGAGTTATCTCGTAAATGAAGATTTATTGACAGTTAAAGTAGAGCTCTAGGATGTTATAATATATATGCCTAGCTTAATTATTAATTAGCTCAAAATTGATGATTTTGAAAATCTGACTAATTGTTAGTTGTCTAGATCAAGATTTGAAAATATTATCAAACAAAAAGACATAGAAAGCCCTGACCGCTCACCTGAGAAAAGTCAAAGGTCAAAAAGTCTCAGTGGAGCCTCTTTCCACCCCCAGGAGCACAATTTGAAAACAAGGGACAACTTAATCTTAACAATTTTTGTACAATCACTGTCACTGTCAGAAAATTTGTGTGTAAAATTATTTCAAAATTGAACCGGTGGTTTAGATGTTGTTTTAATGTGTTTTCCTGATTTTGAAGGTCTTGTGATTTTCATAAATAACTTTCAATTAAACTAATGAGGCCCTGGCGGGGCCCTTTTTATCACAGGATAATGATTTGAACAATTGTCACTTTCACAAAGGACCACTAGATGTTGTTTTATATTAAATATCAAAGCTCTAAGCCTATATAACTCAAAATTAAATTGATGACTCCCTTGAGGGACCGTTTTGACCCTAGGGGCATAATTTGAACAATATTTGTAAAGGACGACTAGATGATGCTACATACCATTCTTGTATATTTTCACAAGTAAAATTATTAAATTTTCCTATACATCTCTATATTAAACCGATAAGCCCCCTCGTGGCCCCGTTTTACCCTAGGAGCATAATTTGAAAAAGCTTTGTAGAGGACTACTAGATCATGTTACACACCAAATATCAAGGCTCTAGTCTTTGTGGATTTTGACAAGATTTTTTAAGATTTACCTATACAACTTTATATAAAACTGATAAACCCCCTGACAGGGCCCCTTTTGACCCTAACATTCCTTTTAGAGAACCACTAGATCATGTTACATACCACATATTACGGCTCTACACCTTGTGTTTTTTTGTTTGATTTTTTTTAGACAAAACAAAAATTATTAAGATTTTAAAAAAATATATATTTCGGTTACCAAGGCAACCAGATTTCTTTAAGGAATTTAATTCTTGACACAACTTTGCTAGAGCTTCATGCAAATTTCAACAAATTTTTGAATGACGTCATATATTTCAAAAATGTTTAGGAGGAGAAGTTGTAAAAAGAAATTGTTGACGCACGGACGGACAATAGACTAAGGACAATGGGTCATCACAAAAGCCTACCTTGAGAGCACTTTCTTCAGGTGAGCTAAAAATGAATATCATCTAATAGTGAGATGAATGTATATTGTCAATCTTAACAAAGAAATGTCCAGTTGACTGCTCATAATCTAGCTCATTACAGACACAATTACCAGAACATCAGCTTTATCGAGGGAGAATACATTAAAATTAAAAGACAAATCAGAAGAACGTGAAAATATTATCCCCTTTGTGTGTACATATAATCCATCTTTACCTAATATAGGTAAAATAATTAACCAATATTGGAACCTATTGAAGTTTCCTCCAAATGAAAGTGTACGTAAATTATACAAATACAAACCAATTGTTGCTTATAAGAGACCGAGAAATTTACAAGACAACTTAGTTCATACTCATTTAAATACCAAATTCATGGTTGGTTCAGTTTCTAAATGCTGTCGACCTCGTTGTACTCATTGTAATGATATTGTTGAATCTAATAATTTTTCAAGTACTACTATACCTAAAGAACTTGCTATAAAACGTGATTTTTCATGTATATCTTCAGATGTCTTTTGTCTTATAACTTGTAAAAAATGTAAAAAACAGTATGTTGGTCAAACTCAGCAAAAATGTAGTCAAAGAATGAATAGCCACAAGTTTGATATTAAACACTTTCCTGACACTATTTCCAATGTATCTGAACATTTTAATTCTGAAGGGCATTCTATCAAAGATTTTTCATTCATGCCAATTGATAATTTAAAAGTAAAGAATAATTGGCAAAGATTATTAAAAGAAACTTCAAGGATGTATAAGCTAGGTATTATTCCTGATGGCATGAACTCGAAATTCTTTATTAATTTTGTAGATTAAAATTCTTCATTTAAATATTTTTTTTATAAAAAAAAATGTATTTTCTATTTTTTTCTTAATATGACTTAAAACTAATTTCATGTCAATATGTAGTTTATGCTAGTTTTCTGATTTTACATTGCTTTTTACATAATCTAGCTTAAAATTCGCTTTGAAACTATAATACAGAAAATAATATCAATTATTGACACGAATGCAGATTGCCTACCTAAGATTTGAGCAGAATATTGATTAAGGAGCTCAGAATAAGTATTTTTGATTGTCTAGCTGATGCTCAGCATTTAGTTTAAAATCATATTTAAAAATAAATAATTACATCGAATTTTGAGCTAAATCTCGATTGTTTAGCTCATCATTGGTAATTTCGAATGTCTAGCTGAATGTCGATTGTTGTTTTTAAAGATACAGTGTTTACCCATTACTGCATGAGCATTTTATGAAAAGTGGCTGTTTTCATTGAAAAGTCTTCCGTTACAAGTGTTTACTGGACCATTGCCTTTGTAACGACATGCTCAGTATTAAATTTCCTGTTACCATAGCAACTAGGGGACATCTCAAAACTGCCAAAAATCAATATTTTGGGTTGATTTTTTCCATCAAAATTGATTTGAAAGTGCTGCAACTTCTCAATGGTTGAGATAGAGTCAAAGACTTTTCAGCGTTGATAACACGTTACCCTATAATCGACCTAGGGTCAGTTTTAGCCTCTAACAAGTCCAAAATTTTCTTGGTGATGAGGGGGACTTCCGATCCCCCCCCCCTTCAAACCCCTTTAACAGAACGGGGCATTTTCACTATTTGAGACAACAAAATAGGGGGTGTGAAAAGGCGTTAAAAGGCGTGTAAATCGGGTAATTGGTTAACAGAAAAAGATGAAAGTACCTGAAATTACCCTACATCGCGTTTTTTAATGTTAAAAAATGACCTTACATATAATTTTGAAGAAAAATTATTGTTTTGTAGAATTTTATTTATTTTCATTAACAGAAAATGATGAAAATACCTGAAATTACCCGAAATCGCGTTATTCCATGTTTAAACAAGAGCTGTCCGTAAGACAGCGCGCTCGACTTTTTTATTGCTTGCCAATAAAAAAAGTTTTTGCAGTAAAAGGCAATACAAGAATCTCTGTATTTTTAAAGTGAACTAGTTGTTTGATACCCTTGAATATTACAGCAATGTTTATATGACATAATTTATGGTAAAGTGAACAAGTGGATAGGAATGAATTTTTCTAGATTTTTTAAGTTTTTTAGTGCTTGCCTATAATACAAAACATTGACAGTTTAGGGCCATAATTCAAATAAAATCTTTGACAGAATTACCTTCTCCTGGACATGTTTGGGAATCATGATTGTAAACAAGTATTCCAACTTTCAAATTAATATCTCAAACAGTTCAGTCAAAAAGTGGACTGGTACTAAAAACTTAACCAAGATTCTAAGTCGATAAAAGGCCTTAATTTTTAAAACAAATCCTTGACAGAGTTACCTTCTCTTGCGTACAGATGGGGGTAATGATGTGAAATAGCATTAAAAGTTTCAAAGCAATATCTCAAAGGGTTAAGGCAATAAGTGGATTTTACCCATATTCAATGTATTTTCTAAGTCAAAAAGGGGCATAATTCTGTCAAAAAACCTTGACAGAGTTATGTCCTCTTGTCTGTTGATGAAGGTCGTGATGGTAAACAAGTATGGTCAGTTTCAAAGCAATACCTCCAATGGTTTTGAAATAAAGTGAGGTGGTACAAAAAACTTAACCAAGCTCAATACACTTTCTAAGTCAAAAAAGGGCCATAATTCTGTCAAAAACCTTGACAGAGTTATGTACTCTTGTCTGTAGATGGAGGTTATGATGGTGAACAAGTATGGTAAGTTTCAAAGCCATACTTGTAATACTTCTGAAATAAAGTGGGGTGGTACGAAAAACTTAACCAAGGTGTGACGCCGACGCCGACGCCGACGCCGGGGCGAGTAGGATAGCTCCCCTTTTCATAGAAAAGTCGAGCTAAAAATGGCCTGACATATAATTTTGAAGAAAAATTGTTGTTTGGTAGATTTTTTTCATTAACTCCCGAATATCGTATGTTGACTTGCATATTGACTGTCTAACTTAGCTTCGGAAATATTATATGTCTAGCTGACTGTTGATTGTGTAGCTCAGCACCCGTTTTGAATTTATATTAAAATCAAAATGATCCCGAATATTGAGCAATTGTCGATTGTCTAGCTTAACATTGGTAGTTGTGCATATCTAGCTGATTGTTGATTGTCTATAACATTGTTAACAAACAAATATCAAACGTTGAGTTGAATGTCGAATGTCTCGCTAACCTTTTGCGATTTTGAATGTCTAACAGCTAATTGTTGATTTTCTAGCTCAACATTCGTTTGAGAAATTCAGTGTTTACTCACTCACGAATATCAAATGTTCATCTCAATATTGATTGTTAAGCTCAACATAGAAAATTTGAATACTGACAAATATCTTATATGTTATATGATAAGCTGATTGTTGATTGTTTAGCTTAACATTCGTTTTGAAATGATATTAAATTAAATGCTGAATAATGTTGAATGATGAATTGTATGTCGATCCCCTCATTTGATTTTAAAGCTGATTGTTCATCGTCTATCTCAACATTCCTTTGGGAATAACGTTGTTGATAAACGCATACTATAATAAGCATACTATAATAATATTGAGTAGCTCCAGATTTGTAGTTCTGAATGTCTAGCTTATGATTATCTATGTTAACATTCGTTTCAAAATTAAACATGTATTTAAAACTCAAAATATCAATTGTTTAGCTCATCATTGATATTATTTAGAGTT